GTTGGGTGTCTCAGACATTATTAACACCATCATACTTTTGAGTAAATATCATATCCATTGTGCTAAATGGAGGAACGCTAAGCCTTCTCTCCGTGGTTTTATTAATGATTTTAAGATATTTTTTTCTTTGCCAAAAAAGACAAACAGCAAATAATTAACCAGGATATTGCCCGTCTCCTGCTATTCTAAATTTTGACTTATGCTGAAGCTAATATATTGTTAAGTAATGCAGCTGCTTCACTTAGGCTACTAGCAGGTTGCTGAGTAGACATCTGTGTAGTGGTTTGTTTGAAACCACTTTTCCCTTCAGTTTCCTTGTCAGGAAACAACTTCCTGTTCAACTGAAATGCCTTGGTTTTCAGTGGAGTGTGTGCGTGCGTTTCAGTAATAATGTCCCTTACGGCACCTCATACTATTGAGTGTTCAGACTCACAGTGTTTTCTTCAGTCTGTGTTTTGTTTCCTGAAAAGACAAAACAAAAAAATTATAGAGCAAACAGTAAAACTCAAAGCTTTTTTTGTATAAAGTTTCATCTGTGAACTTTCTCACTTTTAGATTTTGTCCACGTGTTGACTGTAACAACAGATATTAAGAGTGCTGCTAAACCCACAGACACAAAGATGCATCTCAGCAAATACAGACAATCTGGAAATGAGCAAAAATATTTTGGCTTCAACTTTTTGTTCAGTGCAAAACTCAAAATATTTCAAACGTTTTAAAAACAATCAATTTTCTAACATGTAGTGGTGAGGTTTGAGTGTGCTTTTGCACTGTGGAGTTTCTAGCTACAGTATTTATTCTAAATTATAAATAAACACCAACAATGGAAATGATAAAAGTCAAGTAAATGTGTTTAAAAATATATTATTAATATTATTTATTTTTTGTCTGTCATGGAAACAAAACAGATGTCTGTCAAGATTGCACACAAAGAGAGAGATTCAGCTACTACCGTCATGTTAGAGATAAACTTTAAAATAAGAGAGATTTGTGGATTTTCTTGTTGATGGTTTTTTTTGTGCTGGACTTTACTGTTATTGTATTTGTTGTTGCGTACATCTTCACTAAAGAAAAACAATAGACATCATTAAAGACACTGACAGTAAGAAAAAACTTGAAAGTAAGTGAACAACAACAGAGAGGAAACAGTGGTGAGATGTTTAACAGTCTAACAAGTCTCATTTTTGATGATGTCTCATGTCTGAGGATATGTTCTCTTTATCTTCATACAGACACTCAACTGTGAGTCTACAGTGTTCATATGTCAACACAGAGCTGTTCAAGATGCTTTATCATTGTTCTCATGTACACACACTGGTGAAGATGGAGATATTGTAAGAGAAAAGCAACAATAGAAAAATGAACTTCATCACTGTGATCATAATTATTGTGGTGTTTCAGTTTGTTGTTCTAACAGGACAGTTTGAGCTGAAAACATTAAGATGTAAATACTCACTGTTAATAACAGACAGATCAATTTAAAGTCTGGACCTTCTTGTGATCCTGTTGCTGTTTTGAACTGTCTGCAGGTGTAACGACCAACATCCTGATCTGTGACCTTCTTTATAACCAGAGAACAGTTTGCAGAAAGACTCAGTCTGTCTGATTCAGGTTTGGCTTCTTTAATCTGCCCAAAGTCAAAGAGTGATACTGTGGTGCCTGAATCACTGAAGAGCCAGGTAGTACTGATACAGTTATGCTGACCTTGTAACGAGGTGTTACAAGGCAGAGTAACATCATGTCCACGTCCAGCTGTGACAGTTTGATGTTGCTCAGTTGTTCCTGTTGAGAAAAAGAGAGAGAGAGAAATGTGAAACATCAAATATGTTATGAATATGAGTGTTATGTTTATAATGTGAAGTTTATTTTAAATACAACACAAGTTTAAGATTCAACTTTAGTTTCCAAGAGTCAGCTAAAGTCAAAAGGTTTATCATGACTGTCTCAGTTAAAGGGAAGAATAAATAACACTTGTGATAATAATGCAGTTTATTAATTGAATGTGTTTCTATGCACACTTACCTTTAAACTGAAGCATCAGTATCAGTAATGAAGACATTTGAATCCATGTGAATGCAGCCATCGTGCTTCTCTGTCTCTCTCAGTCTCTGTTCTTGCTCTCAGAGATGAACACAGCATCAACTTCCTGCTCACTTCCTCATAGTGACCACTGTTAGCAGCTATATAAAACAC